CCCCGTTTTACCCGAGGGCACTCCTCTGCAGATGTAAGAAAACTGCTACCTCTACCAGTTTTCTCCTTTTCCCCCGCCAGTTTATATATTGTTGAGATACACAACTCCTGGAATATACTACAACAAGTTCTTTCCGCGGATATGTGAGAGCCCTATCAAATCTATTTTTGTGAACAGCTTCCGTCCTTCCAAAGTTGTCAGCGCTTCAGTAATACTCTGTAGAGGGTATACTTCGATCTTGATTACTTTAATCATCGTTCCTTAGTAGACTACAAAGATGCTCACATCTGTGGGTTTCGGACCTGGAACCACAGTTGTGGCACTGTTTACCCTGGTTCCAACAAACCTTCCTTGAACAATTTTTCAATCTCCACTTTAACCCTGCATTGTAACGCATAAGAAATCTGGTGACGTCTTAAACAATTAATTGGGCCTTGTCCTCAGTATGCAGAAATGTCAATAAGCACTGAATCCCCTGCATATTGGGCATCCATTCCATAGTTAAAAAATATATATTTTAATATATTTCATCGGTTTAAGGTAAATAATAAAGTTTTCTTGATTGTAATAAAACCGAGACTTTTATTGTATTATAAGTTATGTTACAAGTGTCCTATCCTAGGTCACTTGTAACATGACAGGGTATTGTGAATTTCCTCCGGATTCCTTAAATTAACTGTAAGTACTCTAAAAGGTCGGTACATTAAAAAATACCGCACAACATATTTGCGGCGGCGATGGTGTAACGGTTAGCGTACCGGACCCAAGTTCACGGGTTCAAATCCTATCGAAGCCGTGGATTTTTAAGGGCGAGAAAATCCTTCGTACGCCTTCCTTCGGAGGGGATGTAAAGCCCGCTGTCCCATGTTAGTAGATTTACTTGCATGTAAAAGATCCTCAAACCTAAATGACGCCGCTGAGTTAAATTCAACTCGCCTGTTTCTCGCCCAAGAAATACCTCCTTTCTCTTTTAGTTGATGAAAGGAGCGTAGCGAAATTTGCGTTGTCAGACAGAAGAGCGGGTCTGATGGCCCGAGTCTCGCCACGTAAAATAAGGCAAATTCAATTCAATGTACCTGATTAGTGGATAGGGTCTATTTATTTCCCCCATCATAGTACGCTTTAGTAATGTCGCCACCCGTTCGAGCGCAGCACTGTGCATACTCAAGTCGCAAGATTTAACTCGTAGTTTGCTACCTGCTACGGGCTTTTGCTTTTGGCTTATATTGAGTTGTGGAATGAAGCAGTTTCTCAAGTGGGATATAATAAAGTGAAAAGAACACAAGGTATGCATTGGTAATTTTTTTCTTTTCTGCATCTAAATCGCATTAAAGTATTTTTTATTGTGCCAATCAAATCATTTAATTTTTATTCATATGTTTTGCGAATGGTTCCGAGGCCTCAAAAGAGCTCCCAGGTAGAGAATTGATTTTAAGGTTTATGGTACAGCTGTTATTATCAGTTCAGTGACATGGAAGTGAACTTCAACACAAATATTCATTCATTATAACATTCCTGTTTTAAATGCTTAGGAACCATTGTTCACTAAAATGATTTTGTTACTTCCAAAGTTCTTAAATGGGTATGATTTCTAAAATTCTAAATTTTAATAAATCTTCTAAAAGCGACAATGACTTCTGGCAAGTTGTAAAAGTCCTAGGGATATCAACTTCTTTAGTAGTGTTCTTTTCTTCTTTTTTTATCATGCTCAAGTTTAGCACATCTCATGTTAAAGAATTGTTTACTTATACAAGTCTTGTGTATGAAAAAATTGTATACAATTTTACAAAATGGACAGTTTTCTGTTTTGATAGTGATGTTATTGGCAGTTATAAGATCATCTATTTAATCATCTATGAGTATTTCATATTACTTATATTGCTATTAAGATGGCTAATATGGGTGTATATAACTTAATTTTTTTACATCAAAATGACAAAAAGATTGTTGGTCAGTGAGTTGATTGAAAGTCAAATCAATCATATCTATACTTGACATTGGCCTGTTGTGAAACTAGTTTTAAAACATGTTCACCTGGTACCCAATGTCATTTAGAAACTAACACAGGCTCTTTTAGCACAAGTCACAAGTATATTCATTTAAATCTGGGCATGTATATTGACAAAGTTTGTAAATTGATAAAAATTTAGTACATAAAAGTTTTGGCTATGAAACTGTAATAAAAAAATCTTATGGAGACCAACAGATAGTTCCAAATAGTAATTTCTCTTGTGCTGGATCTGATTCAGGCTAAGCTATAAGATTAAATGTCATGGAGTGTACCAGAACATTTTGACCAGAGCTAAACCTTAAAAAATGATGGAATGAAATCAAATTACCATATTAATAATTCATTATAATGAATAAGATAACAGCACTGAATGTGGACAGGTCACATAGAGCCTTCATGCGAGGATAAATGTTTGTGAAATAAGCATTCTAGTAGTGAGAGTGATATACCAAGAGGTTACAAGAATAATTAATTCGAATCAAGTGATGTATTGTGTGTAAGATGGATATACGATGTTGCATGTGTATTTGAGCAGGCAGTCCGTGGAAATCCTTATGAAATTCTTAAGACATTTTTTTCTTCTTCTGTATAGATCATGAAATGAGTTTGCTTTATGGTATTGGGGTGTTAAGATGTTAACAAGGAAAGAATTATGAAGTGTTATATTTGTCTGTAACCTTACATAAGTCTAAATCATCAATAGTAAGGGGGTTGTTAGGTTTAGGTTCTTGAAAATTTGATAGCTAAGGATGATAGTGGTGTCAACTTGGGGTTCTGATTATAATTTGTAGTATCTTAATAAGTTGAAAATGCTGTAAGTATCCTTTTTTAATAGTCTAATTGGTCCAGAACCTAAGATTAAGATTGGTTCCCAGTATGTCTTTAGGAAACAATTTAATTAATGTGCCCATTCTGCAAATTTAGATAATACAGCCCCCCCCCCAAAAAAAAATCTATAGATTTTCTAACCTTCCAACACATTTACTTCTGTAACATTCTTTCATTTCTTCATTATTCATGTACTTTTATTTCTTTGTTCAAATAAAATCTACCTAGTGTTCTGCGGTGAGGCCTATGATGTGCTCTGTATTTTGCAAGTTAACTCAGCAATAACCCCAAATTCGCTCAAACTACATTGAGGCTAGCAAACTACCAAACTGTACTGACAGATGTTCAGATAACGCCAAATAACAGTTTGTTTCATAGCAACTCGATCAGTAAGCGCATTTCTGATGTCACGAGGCCCATTGAGAAAGGACGTCGCGAATTAACTAAAAATATTCATTTTATGAAGCGAAACAATGCTGCAAAGTAATATTTTATATGGCGTGTGCAACAATGACTTAATGTCATCGGTCACTTCAAAACAAAGTCAAGTATAGAAGGAATCTCCTCACGCCCTCCCTCTGACATTACGAAAAGCGCTCTGAAATAAATGGATAAAACTTACCAAAGTGCGATATTTTCATATGTCGTATCCGTTGGAGACGCTCCACGGAAAGGCAAGAATCTTTCATATTTATTATGCTTCTCGCAAACCACGTCCTCTTTCGCATATGAATGTGCTGTTTCGTACTGCACTTCCACTGGAAGCTATGACCCAACACATTCTTGGCCAATCCCATAGGACAATTATACCTACGTAAACCCTGACACAAGCAATCCGTTGTTTTGAATCCATTTAATGGTGATCAAACACCCCTTTCGGCATGCATGAAGAACCACATTTATTCTCACTACCGTGACACAAACATTCAGTGATTACAAATAATCAGAAGTGCGCAAGAAACGCAATTGTTCGACAGAAAGTTGATTAATCGCATGACAGCTACCCCAATCAAAATAAAACCGTAACTTTACCTTCAACGGACAGAATAGGTATGGCGCTGTGACAAGGTACTTACACGTGAACTAATGTAACCATGGTGGAAATAATCACCCATGCCGAGGGCGCCACGGCTTGGTAATTATAGTATCATGTTATGTATGTTGCTCACCGCCCTTCCCCACCGAAAGATTTGCTTCAAAACCCCCCTAATTACCCGTCGTCCCCCTCCATGGATTTCCCCTCGCCTGAGAAGCGCCAAGTGTCATCGGTTTAAACGACTTCTCTAAGTCGTAGGTATTCTGTGTTCTCGACTTCAGTCCTTTTTTATTTGTCTATTGGTTATGGGATGTTCTATCCATTTTGAGGCAGCATAAGTAAATTCTATCTTTTTGAAACAGTGAGCCATAAGTAAAAAGCCTCAAGTTTCAATCTCTTCTCCTTGTTCAAACTTAACGGTACACTTGACAGGGATGCAGGAAATTGTTGCAGGATTGTGTTGTAATTAGAATGAAAACTTTGCTCTTCTGCAACAAGCAGGATAATAATTTATTTGTCACCTAAATACAGAACAAGCCTTGTATAAGTCAAGATAGTAGGCCTATATGTTATTTAATACGAATTTGGTTTTCAATACAATACATCATTTACTTTTTTTTTTTTTTTTTTTTTTCCTTTCCAATTGCTGTATTATAATGTGATTTTCAAATTGTTTCAGTGCTATTTGAAAATGGCTGAATCAGTTTTGTCTGTGTGTTGGAAAGACTACACCAGTGAACTTGCTACAGTGTATAAAAGTTTATTTGAGAAGAATTTTTTGGTGGATTGCACTATATCTGCTGAGGGTCAAAGCCTAAAAGTCCATAGGCTGGTTTTATCTGCGTGCAGTCCTTACTTTCATGTAAGTTAAAGAAGTGTAAGTTTAATAAGTCAATCACTTATATTGGTACCTTGAATAAATCATTTATTATAGATGTCAACAATTCACATCTCCAACCCAAATCCACAATGCTTTGGGAATTCATTCATCCACATCTTCAGATGGCACTGAAATAAAAAATAATAATTAGGGCTCCGGACTTTTAGGTAAATAAATATATTTGCTCCTTAATCTCAAGTGTTGAGAGTTTAGTGAAAATTCAAGTAGTGCCCCTTAGTTTTCAAATATCAAATAGTGTATCACCTGAAATAAATATTTTCATGAAAATTAATATTATTACGTTTCAAAAATTTTTATACTAATGAATGAATATTTTGAGTATTTTCTTGTTTAATACTTTGGAGTTTTTGGATATATGGTAAGAGATGTGCCAGTTTGGAATGCAGTGGTTAGTCACACCACTTGTTACTGTGAGAGTTCTTAAATTTAGTGGAGTCAGTCAGTAGTATCACTTGTCAAAAATGTGAGGATCATTTCTAATGTTACTGTCTATTCAAGCAGTAACACTTTGAATGATAATACAGTCATAACTAGAGCCCGGAAGTTCAACGACTCATTTTACTTAAAACAGACAAAAACACGGTTTGGAAATGAAATTTGGGCACACAAGTTGTAATATGGTATTCTTCATCTTATTTAGTTGTTTCAACCAAAGTTTTATTGATCTTAGTAATTTAAAGAAATGTATAAAGATTTCTCAGTGTGGTTTAAAATTTACCATAGATAATCTAAAGAATATTATATTTTAGTACAATGCACAAAAGTTTATAAACAATCAGTCTCACTGTGGTTGCAGTATTATTTATTCAATGATTGTCAAAGCAGACCTTTGTCATTCATTCACATGCCATGTGTGCATGTATCCTGAGGAGACGTTGATTTACAAGTACAAAAAACAATTGTAAACAAATGAAAGCAAGGATATGAAATATTAAAATGCTTACATATATTTTTTAAAAGTAATCAAAATAGAAAAATAAAATAAATAATGAAACAAAAATTTTTATTACAAACCCCAAATCAAAGCTCAAGACAGAAGAGGTACTAAACATGTAGTTTAAATTAATCATGAAAAAAGAGGAAATAATAAAATAGCCATTTGATTAATTCTTGTCAAAGAACAGTAAAAACTATACATGGGAGTCATATATAATCTGTGCATTTTTTTTTAGCTCTAGAACTTTATCTACATGTTTGAAGCAGTGAGGTTAGCAACATCTGAAAACTAGTCATTTTTGCTGCTGAGTTATAAGACATTTATTTACGTCAGTAAATAATCTCAGATTTGCCTTTTTAGTATTGCCTATACCACAGGCACTGCTCCTACTTCACTTAGCAAAAGGGGAGCTGGACAAAATGGGTGCATAGTGAAGCAACTTTTACATCTAGAAGCACATCAAAGGGACAGAATTTTCTCAGCAGATCAGGGAAACTGGACCAAACCCAATCAAGATGTGATTATTGACCTAGAAAATAAAGTACTTACTTATTAAAGGCATGTTAAATATTTTTAATACAATACAAATGCAAACTAATGAATTGTACATCTCTGTTGAAATAAAAATTATAGGTCAGTGTAGTCTCTAATTGTTTAGAAATAGTAATGCAGCAGAATTACTTTGTACTGAAACTCGTGTATTGATTATAATTGTTTAATGCCATGTGGCAGAGTTTGTAAAGAAATGAACATGAAAGTAACGTATATGTGGATTTCTTATAGTGAGCTGTTGATACTGATATCTGGTGATTGTAATTATAAATATTAGTATTGCATGAAAATATGTTCCAACGTTAAGTAAGTCAGTTTTGCCAAGAACTGCAGATTTCTAAATAAATAGATAGATCAATGAAGAGAGGCTTGCAGGAATCATGAAATGGCATATGTTTGTTATTCATACCTCCCTTTTTCTTCAATCTAAAAGTATTGTTACAATAGGACAAGCTTCCCAGAATATAATAGCATATCTCATGGAAAAATTTATGTTTTGCAAAATCCAGAAAACAAGCTGCATGAAGGCTGACTGAATTTGAAAAAATGTAAAATATAATGATCTACATTTGATGTTCAATTTATTTATTACATGGATATTCCTTTTGAGGTTTGACCAAATTGAGAGATCTAGTAATTTTGTTGCCTAGCCAATTGCATACTCCTAATATTCAATGGCACTTTCAGTCACCATATGAAATGTAAAACTGCATTGATACAATTTTTCCTTCGTTTACTATTAATTTGTCATTAAGAAAACAATTCAAAACTTCTAAAATTGTACTATTTATCTGTTTTTGCAGAGAACATAATGGAATGGGGCATATTGATTAAATATAAACAGAGAGGGTGGGACCGAAAATCAAACTTTGCAGGACCTCATTCTCAGTTGGAAAAGACGTGGAAAGACGAGTAAAACATTATGTGTAATAATTTGTTTTATTTATTTCTACAGGCAACTGCTCATTTCACAATCTAATACAAAAATTAACCACAATAATAGGATTTAAAATTATAAATACATAATACTAAGAAATATATAATGAAGTACAATTCATTGAAAATAAGTTCCTTGACTTCTTTGATAAATTGATTATGTGTCAAAGCATTAAGATTATGCTTATATTCATTCGCAATAACACAAGTAGGTAGGACAAAATCAAATTTATCAGTTCCAATCTGATGATGGGTAATTGAATTGTGCCAGCAGCCCTTATATTATTCTGATGTTCTTTTAGCCTCTGTTAGAGTGCCCTTTTATTCTGATCTATATTGGAGAAGTTGCAATCACATGAAATGCAATGAACAAGATCTCTAATTTTTCAAAGTGATATCTGGTTCTTAAGATTTTTAATTTTTAGAGTCCTATTAGTAAAAGAAACAAGGGATAAACAGGAAAAGATAAAGAAGAATAAGCGGCAACAACATCATAAATAATGAAAGAAACTAGGGATAAAGTAATTTTCCAAATTTTTTGGACACACTATTATCATTACCATCAACATTATTACCACTATCATTAGTAATTATTATTTCTACATTAATTATTCTTAAGTTCATTAATCTTATTTTCTCGCCACGTAAAATAAGGCAAATTCAATTCAATTTTAATCCGTTAATTTTATTTGTTGAGTAAGTTTTTAAAGTAAGTTTTTTGAAGCAGTTGGTAAGTGATCACAGTAAAATCAGAGAGCTGACAAATTAATATCAGGCTTTTTTTAATAGTGTGAGGAACTCTACAAATCTTATCACTGAAGAAAATGATCTGGAATATCAGGAAAAATCAGGGAAATTTGTTCCAGAAAATGAGTGGTCACCTTATAAGACAAAAGGGAGATGGGGGAGACTGAAAATGTAAACCAAATAAAACTTTTGGATAGTAACGAGTTATGTACACCAAACTAAATGCAAATTGAAGAAACAGATACGAGAACATGTTAACATTTTGGACCTCCCACAGAAATTAAATCTCAAACTATAGGTTGCAATTAGAACACAGGATAGACTACAACAATATTTGTATTCTCGATATTGAACCCCAAAAAAGTATTCAAAAATGTTTTCAGAAACTACAAACATTAAAATAATAATAATAATAGTTCTCCCCAACCACCATTCCTCTACGCTTTTCCTTTTTGTTGTGTTTGTTAAATTCTATTGAAATTTTATCCATTTCATTAATTTAATTTATATGTGTAAACATTTTAATAATCGATTAATTTGGAGCAAAATTTCTAGTGATCTTTGTTCTTATAAATTGAAGTTCTGCCTAAGGATGCATGCATACATGGCCTGTGAAATGTTGCAAAACTTCTGTAATGAAAATCAGTTGAATAAATAATTCTGCAACCTCTTTGTGTTTGATTGTTTTTAAACCTTCGTACTACTAGTACTACTTGTGACTACTACTTTCTGGACTTTGTTGATTCTATGTCATTTCTGATTTTATTCAAAACTATAAACTATTCTGTGTAAATTTATGTCCATTTGTGTCTCAAAATATATTTTTAATAAAATAATAAATGTTTATTGCAAATAAAAAATTTAAATAATAGATAAAAAGTCATTAGGTAACAGAAAGAGACGGTCATTGACAGATGAAGTCAATAAAGCAAACGAGCTATTTAGGCATTAATTAAAAAAAAAAAAAAATATGTTGCCTAAATTCAGGGGCCAGTCTCAAGCTGTATCCCTTGCCTCACATGGCCATCCACTCACCACTCACACCTCACTCATTCAAAACTAGGGTCTTGGAAGGGGGTATTGCCCACTCCAACCCATTTCCCTTCTCCCTCTAGTTCGTCAGGCCAGCATAATAATGTGTATGCCCTTTCTCTAACATCCGTCATAGCTATTGTAATTTTTTGTTTCAGCTTATTGCAAGTTTAGTTTAGTAATATAAAAAAGAATAAAGAAAACTAGTGGTGCTACAGAAGGGCACTGACTTTTTTGTTATTTTTCTCTGGGGGCTCTTCCAGCTTGGGAATGCTGATTTTGGCTATTCATGTTGCGTACCAACAATGTCCCCCACACGTATTAATCTTTCCCACTATACACATACTTGTGGGCTCCTCGGTCTGTGGTCAGCAGACTCACAAGGCCCTCTGTGACATCACCCATACATGATAAATAAAAGAAATGGGAAAACAACCATGCCCCCTCCCACTGAGATGCTGAGTCTGGACACACAGTAGCCACCTCAGCAATTCAGGTCTGTGCATATCTTGTTGCTTACAACATATACTAATTTTGTAATTCAGCTCAATGAATAAAGAATGATTATTTCCCACAAGTTTTGTTTTTAATTTCATTATTTAAAAATTGAAAGAATTCCTCAGCATATGATTTGTATGATAGAAAGGTAATCATTCAAGAGAACTTCTAACATTTGCCTTCCGTGCTGAGGTATAAATGCCTGTACCTTTACATATTTTCTAGTGGTATTCCCTGGTCCCACCTCAGTGAATGCACCATTGTTCTGGATGTGGGACCCTATTCCTTATTTAAACACAGTGACTGCATATAGTTGCCTGTGAGGCTCAGAGATTATGGAAGGATTGTGCCATTCCATCACATTCTGCCAGAAATCAAGCCCTGGTGTTATCATCTTGGTGTACACCTTCTTACAAACTGTCCTACTTCAAAAATAATATTTTCCTGCATAATTTTATAAAAACAAAATGTTATATTCCATCAGCTTGTAGTATTCAGGGAACAAGTTGTACACCACATCATTGAAAAAGAATAAATAAAATATCAAATTTTATTCATTGTAACAATAACAGTATGAAATAACAACATAAAATAAGTTTAAGTTCAAAGTACCTTGAAACTGTAAAAGCTTTTTAGCTCTCCTCTAAAATTTAGTTCTTGTTCATTACATTTTGCTGTTCCATGAGCAACATATTCCACATTTCACTTTTTTCTGGGAGTACTTTATAGATTTTTAATTTTTATTCTTCAGTCTTCTTTAACCGCTGTTCATGAGACATTTCATTTGAAAGTAAACATCACTTAGTATGGAAGGTATCAGTTAACCTTCACTTCGATGCTTTTTATTACATGATTATTCAAAGATTGACACTACTTCTACTCCTACCATAGGAATACTCTTGATGGAATGTTTGAACCATGATGTGTACCTGAAAATGGAGAACTCTCTCGGAGACTAACTGCACGATGAACTTCACAGTGTACAACCAGAAAAGGGGAAATCTAAATAAACGTGCCATATCTTGTAGGTGAAAACTAAGCTTCAATTTTATTTGACTGTCAATAAAAATAAGTAACAGCATACCTCAAAACTTAAAATTAATTACTGTCTTTACAAATTAAATTGGAAGTTCGTTGCTGGGAGAGAATACTAAAACTGAACATGATTTTAACATTTATTTAATGTTTTAAGAAAGGAACTTGAATTTTTTAATGGATTTAATTATGGATGGATAAATATTGTTAATATCACTGAAAAGGCATTTACATCAAAATAGGCAAAATGAAATGTCTGTCAAATTCTTTCTGTTTTTATAACTTATGCACATATTTAAATGTTTATTTGAATAAATTAGGCACTTTCATAAACATACAATAATAGGCCTTCAGCATAACCACACAGTATTAGTTGATGTAATTTATACATGCAGTAATGATATATTTAATAAAAAATCCCTGTTAACCCTTAGACTTAGGGATCTTTTCTTACCACAGGTAACAATGTTTCACAACACTGAAAATTATTCACATGAACTACTTTTAGATGTGTGCAGTTTTACATGTGTTGATAACTTCTCCTTTTTTTCAGTTACTTTGGTTTGAAGTAATTTGATTTTTGTTGGGCTTAGAAATGCTCCCAAATCAATTCTATAGAAAAAAATCTATAAATGCGTATATCAGTTTTATAATATTGTGTTATTGATTCTGAATAACAATCTGGCGTATTTGTCTCTTACGAGTTCTAGCCATTCATTCTCATGCTGGTAATGTGGTCACCTATCTATAATGATTTTCTAGAAATATTCTGTTTTTATAGTACAATATAGTAAATAAAGAACATAACGCATAGTTTTCTTAATCATTCCAGGTACCATGCATGAAATAAGAATAAACTATTGGGTAAAATGTGCGAGGTCAAATCTGACCCCAAACAGAGTCAAAGAGTTAAGCAAGCACCCCTCTAAAAAGACTACTTTATCATGGAACCAACAGTGGTCGCTTAATTTAAGTTTCACTGAATATTCATTACTTTACACTAGATTCACTCTGTTACATACATATTCCTTCCGTCCCTGACTCCTAAGAGTGTGAAAACATCCAAGTGAAGTTGTGTTCTTAAGGTAGTTTTGAAAATTTTTCAAAAAAGATGATAGTGATGCTTAGAGGGTCTGACCAGTATCATCACTGAAACAGTGCTCTGAATCATTAGGAGTAAAAGAGACAGGAGTCATTTCTCACTTTTCTCTTTGTGTATTGTTTTCACAGAAACTGTTTGCTGAGGACACTGAGAAGCATCCATTAATCATTATCTCCGGCGAATCCTTTACAACTCTAAAAGCTGTAATAGATTTTGTGTACCGAGGGGAGACTCGTGTTACAGAAAGAAATCTGAAAGCTTTTCTGAATCTCGCTCAATCCCTACAGATCAAGGGCCTAAATGCCTTTACTAAAGATAACGTATGTAAAGTGATGATCCTTTTTCTAGTGTTTTTTAATCCTAACATTAAAAATGTAGATAAAACGTTTGGCTTCTTTCAGAAGAACCAATCCAAAAGTCCTTCAGGAAACATCTCTTGTGGTTTGGCTGAAGATAATCAAAACACCTGTGAAGTTGAAACCATTAACACTAGCGACAAGGACAGCCCTGAAAATTATTCTCTACGTCCACCCTTTTCGGATGGCTACCCAGACACTGTTCACACAAACTCTTCTATTCCTTTTGAAGGATGTAGTACCACATGTGAGGAAGCCCCGTCAGCATCAGCAAAGGCACCGTTTCTAGAGCAGAGATCTCTGGGATGCGATGAGGTGTCAGTAGACACAGACACAACTGTGAAACATGAAGTTTTCTATCCTGGATTTTTGGAAACGAGACACAATAATTGCCCAAATACTTTTACAAAGTGTTATGTAAGTAAAACAGTGGTAAACTTAATAATTTTTGCTGCCGATATTCTAAATCTGTGATTTTGCTGCTTTCAGAAGGATAAGAACGTATCCAGTAATACTACTAGAAGTATACCTCAAGGAACATTTAAGGGTAATCAAGACACATACGAGGTTCAAAATATTAATTCTAGCTACAATCCTGAAAATTATTTTCAACCTCCTAATTTAGATGGCTACCCAGATGCTACGATCACAAATTCTTCTGATCCCTTTGAAGGATCTAGTGAAAGATTATCTGTGCAAGAATATCAGAGATCTCCAGGATGTGATAAAGTTTCTGTAGAAACTGAAATAACCGTGAAGCATGAACCTTTGAACGCTGAATTTTCGGACAAAAGAAATGAAAGATTGCCTAATGTTGATAGGGATGAATCCATCTCTGGAAATTTTATTAGTGAAGTAAATGGAGGAACTGCTTCTGCACTTGATGAACAAGATTTGAAACAGTACCCAAGTACGTAAACTAATAATGCTTGTATCTACTATTTCACGAAATTTTATTTTAACACAAACCAACTATAAACTCTGTAGGAACTGTACTGTACATGAACCTTGTTTTAGATATGTAGAGAAAAGCTGTTTCATGCATGTGTGTTGTGCAGAAGTGAAGGTATCGCTATCTGCACAATGCATTCTGTGGTAAATTTAGCTTCACTCTTGAAATTTGTATTAATGCCTCACTTTTTCTTGATACTCCACAGGGTGGGAGGGTGCAGCATCTTCAACTACATTCTTTTATTTTCTTTTTTCTTTTAAAGAAAAAATTAAAAGTTATATTATTGAGTAACAAGAAGTTTTCCGGTATACATAGATCGTTAGAAAGAGCAAGCGAAAACTGAGGAGTCCGCATTGAAAGGGAAGGTGCGAAGCACTGCTAACTGAGCTGAGACGTTCCAAATTGAGCGCATATTTTCTAACAGGCTGTACTGTGCCAGAAATAAAATATAATAGTAGGACTTTGGGTTATAAATACGTAATCTAAATCGTCATTCCACAAACTATAGAGAATAAAATAAACTATTAATTCAAAATAAGTTTCTTTGAATTTTCAAAAAATTGATAACATCTTAAAACTTTAAGATTAAGTTTATATTCATTTGCAATAAACATGGTTCATTGGTTCGTTCATACCAAGGTTAGTTTTATTTTTGGAAATCTTAAAAATCAGTAGCACCCTCGATCTAGTTCTAATGTTTGGAATTCTCCATGAAACTTCACTTAACAAATTACAATTGATCTCGTTCATCAATAAATTATTAAAAAGTAATCAAAATATGCCCGAAGTTCACTAATTTTAATGTTTTGGCAATTTCGTAATAATTTGTTATTTTTTAAGTGGAGGAACACCCAGCTCCATGGAAATTATGTATTATCTCTATTTATCCTTTACAAATTGTTTAGTGAAGTGAACAAATCACAGAGGCATATAGAAGAATCAGCTTCACAAGCATTAAATAGAGCGTTTGCAAAACTAATGTTTTATGAAACTTTTTTTTTTATTTTAGCATTACAATTCATGTACGATTAAAATTCAATATTCATTGTTATAGAACTTTGTTTATGTGGTAATTCTTTTATATTTTGTGTGTGTTCTATTCTGGTTTTTAATTTTCATATAGTTGGACCTATGTATGACATTCATTACATGTGATTTTATATACAATATGTTGCAAGTCATTCTTCTTACATTTTGTATAATCTTACTTTTATTTATTATGCTGTTTATCAATTCTAAATCTAATCGTGTTTTTAATTATTTTATTAATTTGTGGAATAAATAGTAGGTACATCATTTTTTATTAGTTTTCTATGGTTGATTGTTATTGTCATATTTAATTTTTTGAGTCTGGAATTGGTCATTTTATTGATAAATGGTTCTGGATAATTATTTAATATCCTTAAATCGAAATTTTTTGAACATTTTGTTCATGAAATTCAATCTGTTTATTCAATTTTTGTACACTTATTCTAAAAATTCGTATTTATTGAAGATATTATTGTAGGTAGATTGCAAATTTTTTCTGAAGTTTAATTTGCTCTAGCACTTCTAACATTTTGCTCCAAATGTTTTTTGCTTGAATGCAACAATGTTTCCTTAAAAAAATGTTACAGATCTAATTTGTATTAAACCCTATGAAATATCAAAAATTGCAGAAGTTCTTTTTGATGTCCTGTGAACGGTCATATGTGTAAGAATACGTGGTGGATTAGGATTAGACAAAGACTAGAAAAAACAGACTTGGACCCTATGTTTGAATCAAATATTTATGTTGTCTGGAAACACTGTCACGAGTTCATCTTATACTCAGTTATATTACCATTACAAATAACATGAGAAAGTATGTCTTCTTGTAGCACATGCAAGTTTAGTTTGCTATCCATGGTGTAAAACCGAGTTGGTCCTTTGTTTTGCTTTTAAGCAGTATGTGGATTTAATTCCCCCTAAATGTCTCGTGGTTATAACAAAGTATAAATAGGGCATGTAACAAAGTGTGAAATTCTTCTGTTGCTTTATGTTATTAAAAAACAGATTTAGATCCCTACGATTAATATGGTAGTCAATTGAATGCAATCTAGGTTCAAAGATTCTGCTTGTTTCTAATCACCCGCAATGGAGTAGGATATGCAGAAGAAAATCCTTGAAATATTTAATATAGGTTAAAACGTCACGTTTTCTTCTTTGTTGATTGTACTTGGAAGAAAAAAAACAACAAAACAACCACACACACACACACACACACATAACATTGGGGACAGAAAATAGAGTTTTAAGGGCCCCTAAACACTGTTTTAAAATCGTGTACAATGGTAACTGCTTGTAGATTGCTACCAAATTCTAATTTTTTTGTGCAGCATGTTCACTAAAGTGAGACATAAAGAGTATGTGCAATTTCAAATAATCATGGTCTTTTGTTTGAAGATTGTACTGCATCATCTCATGGAAATGTTGAATCATCAGTGGGGTCACCTCCACAACAGCCGGACCTGCAGTTTGGCCATGAAGTCTCTTCTGGCAAAGGTGTTGCTACCGATGCGATGCCTACTGTATTTGTTCCAAAAAGTGTCCAAATGGATGTTCAAGAAAGAGAAGAACTCCAGAGTGACTCTAATGTGTTACAAAATGATGCAAATGAAGGAAGAGACCCTCTACATGATGAGCAAAACCCCAACCAATTCTCAAGTACGTAGAAACACTTGTTTTAACTTTTATTATCAGCGGTCAGGGCTGTTGTGAATTCAAAAGTCTATTAAGATATAGAAAGTTATGGAAATTTTACTCTTGCAAATTTTACTCAGAGAAAAATAAGATAAAAGAATTAATGCTAACCCTATTAATGATCAATAATTGTAGTTAGTGATGAAAATGAAGTTTTACAGAGAAATTTAAATAAATTGTATTTTATTAGATTCTTGCTTTCAAACATAGCTTTTGGAAAGATCTTTAAATGTGCAAAAAAGAGCATTGAGATTTTGACGGGAATATGTATTAGGATGCCTCTGTTTGGAAAGTCCCTGCTTGCCCATTGGTAGTGCCCTTCATGTGCGATCAGCACCTACGATGCAATCATTTCTTACTTTTTAAAATGAACCAAATAACTTTAACTGTTGCAGTATTTGTAGCACATAAATTTGTGTATCACAGTACACAAATTAGTAGTATCTCTGTATCACAGCACATAAATCAGAAAAGCAATAATAATTTTACAAGCCCACTTTGATTACATTGGAGTTAGCTTTCAATTTTTGAATACCATAATCAGCGATCAAAACTTCTTACAGAAGACTCTTTGAAGGAAAGTAATAAATTTGACCCAGAAGTAACAATCTTTCTTTTATAAGAATATTATCTATATCTAGGGTTGTAAGATGTATTTGAAAGAAGAAAAAAAAAAACACTTTTTTAAAATTTTTTATTAGCTGCATAACAATGTGGGGGGGGGGGGGGGGGGAATACATATCTATTTCATTATATATGTATAGTAGCGTACTCACTGCCGGAGTTTTAGGCGCCAGACACACACTGCTCAGCCAATCTCCGATGACGACCAAAGATTTTAATGGGATCACTCCGAGTAGAGCCAGAAAAACCTGCAGGGCGGGGCCCCTCTGGGTTAGATTGGCAAGGAATATTTTCTAGGATCGGGTGAACAATGACAAATTAGATATATTAGTTCGAACGATATGGTTCCAGAAAGGATCCCACTTTATTAATGGCAGACTCACTTTGATGCAATCAATACAAATACTCTCAAATTCAGCATCTCACAAGAATTGTATATAAAAGAATTATCATGCATTATGGATTCTTCCTGGAATATTATCAAAGTTCTTTTCATTTGTTTCTAATTCTCGAATTTAACAAGACATACTTTCACGCATAATTTTTCTTTGCAATAACATGGTTTTACTTAGAGACGAAGTCTCGCGAATGAGCTGTCTGAAAGAGGTCACAGGTTTTGGGCGTAAATTGCACTTTTGCTATTTTCAATACGACATCCGAGGACAAGTATAATTAAAAAAAAAAATGGAGAATTTTTGAGAAAAAATTAAAAATCTGTCTGAGGCCCCATGTAGTTTCCCAAAAATTAAATATCCGTTTGAAACTCCCAAAGCATCGAGTTCAATCAGGTCGATTGGGGAATACCAGTTTTGAAGAAAATTGGCTGTTCGGTTTAGGCGTTGACCGCAAACGGACAGGTGTTTTGCTGGTAATTGAATTTAGGAACTGGATTTATCCTCTCTTTCGTTATGAGGGCCCGGCAATAAGTCTGCCGAAAAATCGCCGTTTTCCGGCGCATGATTAGATAACTTTCTCTTACTAAGTACCTTCGAAAGGGCGGGAAAATAAAAGTCACGAGAGGAATTTGTTAGAACAAAATTAAAGTTCAAAACTACAAAATTGAAAATACATATTTCTGCCTGAAGGTGAAGAGAAAAAAAAACCACTAAAACACGAGTTTTCACATAACTTCAGCTTGAAATTATGCAATTTCTAAAATAATTTTTTTTAATATTTTCCACGGGTAGACGAGACGCTTAAAATAATGAATGGCACCGGTCTCGAATTCGTTGAACTCTGAAAGTTTGAAAATGACAAATTTATAAATAATGCGAGAAAGTATGAGCTGTTATAACCCCACTATTAACTGATATTATACACAGTTCAAGATATATCGTTGTCTCAAGATCAACTCACCCTGTGTAGCAAAACAATGAAGAGCCTGATGAAAGTGAAAAAGGCAAGGAATATAGAGCAAGGAAATTGGAGAGGGAGAGAAGGACACAACCTTCCAGTAAGACCATCTGCTACACACGTATTGCGACTCACGTGGTCAGGACGCGCATGGTGCTCCGCCCCATGCATTAAGTTCAGTAGCCCTGCACTTAATAAACGCAACAGGAAAACTTCAGCAAACATTTCAATGCAGCGCCAAAATATTAGTACATGAAATTGGTTCGAAGAATCCTCGATGTAGAAAGAAGTAGTACCGTTATTACAAAATACATAATAACTATGAACGGCACGATGTCCTCCACTGACCAAATATCGTTTCTCGTGTAAAGCAATTTCAAAAATCCGATCTCATTGAGTGATACATAAACGGGTACTACTTACCGGACAGCCAAAACAACACTATAATCACCAATACTTTCTACGCAATTTGGTGCCATCAAGACCTTTCCACGCTGGTGAAAAACCTTTCCAGTGGTCCGTCAACCTTCGACCAATGGAAAGGTTCCCCGCTTGCGTAGCTGACATAATTTCTTCTCTCGGGTGAAGTATAACTGCTCTGAGCATGATACGTTTACACAATCCAGATATTTCTTTTCGCAATAAATACGAAATAGGTAAGCGCAATAACTGGGCAGTTCAAAGGCGACAAATTACAATGCAGAAATCAATAGCCCGAATCCCAATTTCAGGCTGTCCGCCCAAGCAGATGAAATCTAGTCTTCTCCACACGGGCGAGAAGCCCTTTCATTGGTCCGTCAATTCTCGACCAATTAAAAGATTCCCCTCTCGCGTAGATGACATTTTCTCTTGTGTGAAGCCCCACAGACCATTCCTTGCTCAAGCTCGTGAATTCGATTCTAGAACATTTTACATTCAATATGCACCAAATTAAGTCATAAATGTAGCAGAATATTCCAACATGTGACTGAATAGATAATGAACATTCCAGGACCGAAGTTCATGTGGTTTGAGTTTCATTTCCGCTCTTGCAAGGCGTCAAGGCAATTTTTTGTTAGTCAGAAGCAGAATGTCGAGGCTTATATTTAACCTTAGCAAGTTGGTCACAGTAATTTTTGGAAGCAGTTTTACTTAGCAAGCCAAACCATGTTTTCATTTTTCTGCCCCTCTTTTTTCCACTGTATATTCTGAACATAGAGTATTTGAGAAACTTCATAAAAAAATATACGTGCTTGTACTCCGAAGCCCAAAAAAAGTAACGTCCCAAATGTAAAAATTAAAATGAGGTACTACAAAAAAGTGTATTTTTTAACTAAAAGAATGACGTTTGTGCCATACTTTTCAGTGCGTTTAGAACTATCCGTATTTTTTAAAGAAGCCGTTTGAAAAAATTGCTAACATTTCCAAAAACATTTGACATAATTGAATGACTAATTGTTGAGAACAAAAAATTCATTTGATCGAAAATATGTTCTTGCTACGTTCAAAAAGTTACGAACTTTAGTAATTAATTAAGAACTTTAGTAATGTATGCAACAATGGGTATTTCGTGGCTCAGAGCGTCCCTTACCTTTAATCAAGGAGGTCCAGGTTTGATTCCCGAACAATCTCATGTGAAATTTGTTCCAACAAAACTAGTTTGCCTGCTTCACCGGGGCTAGTCCAACCCCTGTGAAGCGCCTTAATCCCATCACTGTCCATAATTCTGGCCGCAGAGTAGTGTCGCAGGGGCTCGTGTAGTGAGAGGCGCGTCTGCGGAGGTGCTACCACGCGGTCCTCTTGACAAACACAGCACCCACTGAAATACAGAGGGGTATTAATGGAGAATTACTCCGGAAAAGCGCTCAATGCTTGACCAGGGACTAAGGGAGGTATTTAATACTAATATGAACCATTTTAATTAAGACAACACATTTTTAAACAAGCAAAAATTGGATCAGTTCCTTTAATAAATTTTGTTTTTTTATTTACTGAAAATTGAATTCGATGTCTCTTTTGAAATGCGTTCCATTAAATTCATTTTCCCTTTGTCTTCGAGAGACTTCACGCCGACGGATCCTTGGAATTCATCTGAACTACAGCTCCACGTAAACATTCAGTGTAAGCAAGGGATTCCATTTACAAGAATGGCTTGCTTCATCGACCCGCTTACAGATACAGTTTTCATAATCATTAAACAACGAATTGCTCATAAATGACTAAAAGACGATTCGAATTCTTTGATTTCCAATTTCCATTTCGGACTCTTCCGCATCTAAGTAGCCGAATTTTTAATCATCTTTGTGGTGCAATAGTTACAAAATGTTGCTTCTTTTACAACTGGCCATAATATATGTTGTAGTGCGGCTAACATTTTTTGCGCAGTAGAGCGACTATATGAATTCATGTCCTAACGATTAAAGATGAAAAGGGAAATTTAAAATGTATTATTAGATTTCTACCCTTATGTAAGGAATCAATTATCAACTTTCTTCACATTTTTGTAATCAATTTCATAGTGATTTTTAATACACCGATCAGAAGCAGGGTCGTTTTCTGTCATTGACCCCCCAGTTAACAGTCTTCATCGACCTTTCCAGGGGGCGTATTTTGATGACCTAAATCGCCAAAAATGAGCAATACAATTAAATGAAATAAAATTAAAACATTTTAGAAATGCCCCAAGTCAAGAAAATTGACGTAAAAATTGATCAAAATCAGTTCAGATGAACAACTCAAGCTGTTGGATATGTTACCTTCGATGCTTCTTCCTTTCGCTCAAGTAAATTCAAATTGCAAACTCTTGGTTTGAACTTTTTTTAAACAAGGAAATGTCTATAGTTATTCTGAAATTGAATGAACTGATGGCGCTGATAAGCGTCAAAGGAACCTTAGATGACATACTCAAGAAGGTGACGTTACAATTTATGAGCGAAGAAATCTAATAGGCTACTGAGTAATTCTTGGAGAATAGTTATAGCATTTCGGAAATATTATTTCTAGCGAGTTCCATTAAAATTATACCATAATAGATGAAATAAGCGAAAAATGCTTTAAAAGTGAAGTTAAAAAATGACAGTACAAATCGACGAAAAATGCAACATAAACCTAACAAAATTGTCTATACTAAAAGGCATTGTTCTAAAGCGAAAAAAATCATTATAATCCGCCCCTAACATTATATATAAACAAGTTAAAAGTAAAATATTTTGTTTTATATCTATCTCTGTTCAATTACACTACAGACCAAAAATATATTTTAACAATAATGAATGCATTACTTAAATGTGTATTGTATAATTAAAAAATACTTAATACGCCTGTAACAAATAACCATTTGAACTTCTAGGCCAATGACCCCCATCTCCAGGTTTTTCTTCAGTGTCCGCGATCTATTGGGCAAATGCTGAGATGAATTGTTTGTTTTGCTTCAGGACATAAATGAATCTTCACTACGTGCAAGTTTTGTTGAGCTTTCCGTTCGCTAGTAGTGGTAAGAGTAGAGCTGGATGTTACTATTTTACCAGCAATACAAAAAGTCCAATCAGCAGTTCGTTTACAATGCAAATGTGTTTTGCATCACGTGAGGAAAAATGTCAATTTTCCATAAGTTGCCAAGGAAATATGCTGATTGTATTTCTGTGCCGTATGTCGCGTGCAGGTTCTTTAAATAAATAAATCTTGTAGTTATTCTGCTTAGCTGGACGGCTAGGTCGTGTTCTGCCGCTGATTGGAGAATTCCAGCGGCCAGCTGCTCTGATCGGTAGTTTTTCGTGGTTTCGTGATCAACACCATGCGAACGCCGTAGCGAGCAGTACCGTAACGAACGGCCCACTAACCGCGCGCTATCTTTCGTTCCTCATCCTAGGCCTATCCTCACCCTCACACACATGTGTGTATGTGTACACTATTACGCTTAGGGCTTATTCCGGCTGGGGAAACCCCCGCAAGCCGGCGTGTAGGTCGGTGCCGACTGCAGCCCTCTAACGGAGAGAGATGAGAACATCAATTGACGCCGTCTCGTGCGCAGCGGCGGGCGGGCAGCGGCGCGCCCGGCGGGCGAGGGCGGGCGAGCGGCCGTACGGGTGCGAGCTGTGCGGGACCACGTTCGCGCGCACGCAGCACCTCAACGACCACCGGCGCATGCACACGGGCGAGCGCCCTTTCCGCTGCGACACGTGCGGCGCCTCCTTCGCCTACCAGAACAGCCTCGTCACGCACAGGTACGACACGACAACAGCAACTGCGCACGTTTTCTTGACTTCCAGCATTTAATTATTAATCATTGAAAGATTAAAATTTAATTAAAATTTTTTGAATTATAAATTAATATAATTTATTATTATTATTAAGAAAAAAAGCGTGAGTTAGGCATTTGCAGAAATTTGACATTTTCGTTCCCGAGTTATAGAAAACTTATTTGCATTGCTCCAGATTTGACCTTTATGCATTGCTAACGAAATAGCAACTCACTACCAGCAAAAGGAGATTCAACAAAATGTGCGCATAGTGAAGCTACATTTGGTGGACTTCGCTGCGCTGAGGACACGAGCGACGCTCGTTTGGCGTGTGCCAGCAATGGCTCAAGTACTCAGAAAAAAAAAAAAAAGTCAGGTTCGCGCCTCAAAGCAGCTGATATGTGTAGTTTGAAGATGGCTGACGCGAGTTAGCACTATTGCAGAAACAGAAATATATTATACACACAACACAACCTCCTGGTGCAGCACCAGTTTGCGTCACGAGCCACGTGACCTCGCACGGGCTTTGTTTTAAAAGCCAGGCCAGGCAGCATGGCAAGCGAGAAGTGTTGAGAAACATTTTGAAAATGGCATAAAGATAATTTTCAACCCAAAATACAAATACGAAGGTGTTCAAGATGCAATATTTAAAATAAATGCTCTATAAATTACACTTGTATGATATTAATCAAAGAAAACTATTCTAATAGAAATAGCACTTCAAATCTTAGTTACAATAACATTGCAATAGCTTTATCCTTGTAACTTCTAATCATTTTCTTGTACCATATTTAGAGTAATTTTCTCTTTTAATATATGTACCCTGAAGATGAGAAAAAATCAATTCCCCCTGAAACATCGCTCTGAAAACAAACTTTTTATGATCTGAAAAGTTTGTTAAAACTGTGTGGCGAAATTCAGTTAACATTATATGTATGACAGTGGTGACGTTGCAGGCGCACGCACACCGGGGAGCGCCCGTACGTGTGCGACGTGTGCGGGCGCGCCTTCGCCTACCAGAGCAGCCTCATCACGCACCGGCGCAAGCACACGGGCGAGCGCCCGTACCGCTGCGACGCGTGCGGCGCCGCCTTCGCCCACATGAGCACCCTCGTCACGCACCGCCGCCGCCACACGGGCGAGCGCCCCTACCCGTGCGCGCGCTGCGGCAAGCACTTCACGTGCGCCGGCCGCCTCGCCAGGCACAAGCGCACGCACCACGACCACCCCGCCTCCTAACGCCTCCACGTCGCTACACAATGCGAATTTAATAAACCACGGAACCTTCTCGACCACAGCTAGCCGCTTTACCTCATAGGAGCAGGAAACGCGTGCGCCAGTACGCGTCTGACATGCAAGACAACATAATAATCACACAGAAAGTAAATTCAATGTAACGTTTATAAAAAAATTTTTTTTTCAGAATAGCACAGTCATTTTAATTATTTCTCGTGGCAAACTATAATTTCGTCGGACGAGGACATCACAATAGAAAGCGTCCAAGCTGTTTACACGTTCAGCAACTGCAAACGAACGAATGACGGAAGTAGAGTCAAATGGGCTGAAGTACGCGACGACCACAGAATCCTGCTATCGCTAGCTGTCAAAACGGTCCTTTCTAATAAAAATCGCGCTATAAACAAGCGGCGATAGGTCCCCCTAAATTACGACGCCCGTACAACCAGCGTGCGATTCATACTGTATATTTACTTGTGCACGCAATTTTCCGATCGCTGACTATTCATGGACGTTTCTACGCCGATGGAGTACCTCAAAACACCGCTACATTTCCTTTTATGCTATTTTATTGGTAATAAACAACTTCAGAATACACTGACAAGCATGCTATTTAATGTTATTTTTAATGTTCTGATATTAATAGAATTTGTAATAATTTAATTAAAATAAACATGTTAATCCTTTTTTGGGACCAAATTTTGTGTTATTTGTATTAGAAAATCTTTCAAGTTATTAATGTAAAAATGTTGGAACTTCATATAAAAGTATGTTTGTTTCTTTAAAATAATGAATATTACTCATTTGTTTATCGGATTAGAAAATGTGACCCTTCAAATATAGCCCAAAACCTTACGACCTGAAGACACTACACATTGCTGCGTTGTCGACGATAGGCATGGGCAGATCGGCCGGGGCTCCATGATGGAACTCACGAGAGGGAATGAGAAACCAATTGAAAAAATTAGAAAGAGGGAAAATCGTTTTCGTCATTTTATAAGTCGTGGCACATAAAATGTTCATTCAATTTACATTAACATCACAGTAAATAGTTAATTATAGTAGTCATTACTTATAAGGGGCGACCCAATACGATTTTTTATAAAATTATACATATTATATTATCATTGAATTTTAGAACTAGATTACTCCTAATTGTAGATAGTGAAAGTTAATAAAAAATTGCAGGAATGAAGCAAGCACGTATGAATAACTTTTCAGTTCGATACAACTTTCACATTTTAATTTTTTTCAGGCGGGAGGGGGGGGGGGTTAAACGTTCCGGCACTGCCCTCACGGGTAGTTCTTTGGTCAGTGTGCTCGCTTTTCATGACGCAACCCCGTGTTCGATTCCCGGTCGGGCTTATAGTAAGCGTTTTCCTTCAATGTCCCACTATTCGTTGCTGTGTGATGAGAAAAACTCACTTCTAGGGTTCAGAACAACAAATTGCACGCAATATTGTACAAACAATACAAAAATGTTTGAAAAAAACGACTTTATTGAAAGACCCAAGTTATGCAGAACAAATTTTATTTGAAGAAAATAATCTCCATCTCCAATTGTGTTATAGGAAGACCCTAAAAAAATTGAACTTTTGAAGTTTTCGAAAATTCAGACTTAACCGTGAAAATCGAACCTATCTCATTTATACGTGCGCTTTCCTCAATTATAAGTTAAAGAAAAAAAATTGGAGCTATTTTTCAGAAAATTTCGATGTCTCAGAGGCTACATGTTAAGTACCCCCAAAAACTAATGATTTTCGAAATCGCAGAGCTTCGAATCTCTTCGAATATAATACTCCGTATATACGTACTTATAATTATAAGGCAAAGTATAAATTACCAGAGTGCGTGCGCATGTGCTAAACAAGTGCACCTTTTAAATGAACATATTCTCATAGAATCTACTCACGGACGAAATACTTCAGTTTCTAGGAGCGGGTGCGCATGCTTACTTAAGTTTGTTTTCAGTGAACATTTCCTAAATGGAACAGTGAAAAGGTTTTTCACCAGCGTGGGTACGCACGTGTTGATTTAACCACCATACAGTGAAAGTCTTCTCACAAATGGAACAAAAAGGTTTCTCTCCCGTGTGGGTGAGCATATGCCTACGCAATTAGTCCTTTAGGGTAAATGTCTTCCCATAGATTGAACACTGAAAAGGCTTTTCACAGGCGTTGAAGCGTATGTGCGCAGATAAATGCTTTTGAGAAAACGTCCTTTCACGAAAACACTGAAAAGGCTTTTTGCCAGTGAGCGCGTGCTTCATATCCATGGTCCCGTAATAGTCGGAGAAGCTACTCTTACTGATGCAATCTAAGTCCGCACTCTTATTCTTTTGTGGCTGGACTTTGCTGGCTTCATCTCATGCAAACTCCTCTCCATCCATCAACAGAGATTCCACTAATCCAGAAGATTAGAAACATCCCTTATTATTAGGATCCTATTACACTTCACAGGGGAAAAACACATGAAGGGTGCATGCGAATATTTACATATTTACATATTTACATACTTAACGATTGGAAGTTTGAGAAAATCAATTTTTGAAGTTCATGGTTTATGTTTAGATCTCTATTTCAAATAATTCTTTGCAATGTTTCAATAGACTGTTGCCTGAAAAACATTTCACTTTTCTGACAGCGTCCAGTCATTAGTTTCACAATGGAAAAAGCATTGCGGCAAACGAGACACGTTATATAAAGAGGGAAAATTATCGAAGTCCAGAACATCGCTTCTCTCTATCGTCAAAATATTTGCATCTACTGACCAACATTGTTTGATATCACAAGGACGACATCGCATACCGATGCAGCGTCTATGACCCGGTGGTCCTTAGGTTCAAGACCCCACGATGGAGGATTTGACACTAGGTACAAAAGACGAATTCATTTGCTGCCTGAGAATTTCAGCGGCTTGATGCTCTGATGGATATTTTTAGGAGAGAAAATCTAATTGAACTAACTTCAATGAAGGTATTCGAATTGGTTGAAAGAAAATACAAGTACATCAATGCATTGAGAATACAAATGTAGAAGAGTAAAAATCGAATATTGAGATTTTCAATATTAATTATTTTTCATATTTTGATCTATTCCTGTTCCCCATTATTTTTTCTCGTGGTCCATAGTTCGTGGCATACGTGTATATTACATTAATTTCAAGCATAAATTCAGCAAAACTACCAATTTTTTCAATTTTCGAAAATACAGGCATGTGCCAGAAATGAGATATCCGTCCACTGATACTTACGCGATAATTTACAGGAAAAATGAAGATGGATTTTGGAGAAAATTGATTTAGGTGGAAGTGTTGACCACTCACGGGCAGACGTGTTGCCGTTAATCTCTTTTTTGGCATCAAGGGCCCAGAAAACAGATTCCGACAACAATCACAAAGGTCTCCCAAAATCTTTGTAACATTCCACTTCTACTTCTGTAACATTCAAACTTCCAGTACTGTATCATTCTATACATATTCACTAACTCTCAGTCTGCCTCAAGTTTTACATACTTTTAATGTTTTCATTCCCAAAACTGAACACACACAAGTCATGTACAATGAACAAAACATGTACACTGACTTTCATTCAGGCTTAGTTTTGTTTCAAACTTTCCAACCATGTTCAGAAATGAAAAAAACGCCAACATTCACAGACATGTACATTCAGTCTCATTTAAAGCCCAACATACTTTGAGATCCTGGACATTGGCTAACAGATTTGGACATTCGTTAGTAGATCTCGGTCATTATCATCCTCTGGGGGAGCTCAGGCTAAATTACCACACTGATGACTTCTATAAATATAAACAATATAATTACAATGAAACACTCAATATAAAATTGCATATGAAGACTGACCGTTTAGAAAAACAAATATAATTATACATTACACTAAATATCGCAATATATATATATTAGCTGGTGCAAAAGCCCATCTAGCATGGCAGTCATATTAAGAAGTTTCAAGTTAACAGAATGGAATTAACTATGGGCTGAGACCATTGGTAGAAGACTGTTACCCAACTTAGAATACACCTCCAAAGAAAATACACCAATTATTCAAACAAAGATTATCACTTAATAAATCATTATTACATACACAAGTGTTCAACTCTGTGGGAGCATAAATACATACTCGACTAAATTAATGAAGTAAATTATCATATAAAGATTATTTGTTGTTATATTACTGCTATCGGGAGCATCTGTAGCCCATAAACACTGCTTTCAAGTGATTAATTATTACGAGACTAGGGATTTTCATGGTTGTAGGTCTTTGTTTAAAAGAAAATGAATTTAGGATGTATTTGGAGACACAAGGAAAAATACATTTACTTTCTCAAAGCAGAAGCAACATTGTTAAAGAAAGAATGCCCTGAAGAACTTTCATAAAGAAACAGAACAATGAAATCCAACAATTCCATTCATTAACTAGAGCACTTATGAACTCAAAAACATTATTTAATATTCTGAATCTGTAATAAGTACATATTATTGACTAAAGTATAAAGTGCTTTTATATATTTTTCATATAATCAGGCATGATAAAAGGAATAACTGTTTGAAGTTCATTTAGGTTCTTCTAACCTGATGGATAAGTTTAATCTGTTACAAATTTTAAAATATCACACACATTCATACTCTAGTAAATAAACATTTTTTATAAATATATGAATAGTAAATAATTTTACGCTTGCACTTCTTATTTCAATATATTGTTAAGAAATAAAAACTTGCTTAGAATAAATAGGAAACACCAGTAAGATTTCAAATTTGAAAAATCACGGATTGGGCTCAAAAACTTCCTTTCAGAAGTTGCCCATCCTGACAATTTACCATTAAAATCCCCAAATTAGACATTTAGTCTGGCCACTATGTTGCCTCAAGCGTACATGGGCAGCTTGGGGTAGCAGGTCTAATAAGGATTATTTATTGGGTGATCTCTTTTTCTTATTACGCTAAAAATTTGAAAACTGATGCAATGGGAGAATCTATATTTAAACCTTCGACTGTTTGTCCGTTACTGATGTAGACTGTTTGGGATCAGATTTGACATGACATGAATTCATGTGTCACTTCGTAATGTCATTAGAGCAATCAGTACGATTAAAACCAATTGAGAATGGCCAATTACTTGGTCAGCTTTCTAGTAAAAAAAACAATGAATATTAAAATTGCATGCTGGTGAATGCCAACACTTTCCCACATTATCAACACTATCTGCAAAACAGGAAGAAATTTTTACTTTCTGCAAACAAGATATTCATGTTGATTTTATGGAGAGTTTCCTAAATATTTTAAACATGAATATGGAGTTGAGATTTAAATCCTTTCACAAACGATTCTGTACATTAATCACATTTAGAAGACAAACTCATAGAAATCACAACTAACAAAGAACTCAAATTCAAACATAAACATTGATACCAACACTTTTGGCTTCAAAAATCAATACCAGTTCTTTTATTATGAATAATAGTACATACGTTTTGAATTGCATTTCCTTCATCCTATATGGCTGACCGTTGGTTGAGTACAGTAGCTAATTTACCCACACGAGGAGGAACACACTACACCATGGATATCTGCAATTTACGTTAACAAAGTTGACAACCAACTTTGTCAAATTGTTAAAACTCCACCAACCTCCAACAATCTCTCTAGTTTATGATTTTTATTTCATAAATAAACAGGTAATAAGCAAAAATATTGACATGACATACCTATATACGCTGTCATAGCAGCAAACTCTCAAATCTCCCACAACTCGCCCCCAAAACCCTCCCAATCCATGTCCTACAACCTAAGGACCGTTCAAAACCCTATACAGTACCTGAACCTGTAGCAGCCAACCATTTCTACACCAGAACATTTGATTCTCAAAAAACAAAATACATCAAATGGAAATTACATTAAAATACCTCCTAAATCATTAACTGCCCTCTGCCTAACTGAACATTCGAAGGTACCAACATTGTAGAAAGTCCAAAGCAACATATTTCTCCCAAGCATTCACCAAACTCCTGATGAAAATCTTCAGTTATTCAGAAAACACTTGGATATGTTGAATAAATTATTGAAGTTTATTCATTATGACTAAAATGATCCAAAATGATCGAGTCTCTAACAGATTTCTGAGACATTTGGCCCTTATTTATTTTTCCCTATTTTGTATCCATAATGAATGTCAATATTAGTTTATCAAATTGTATTCCCTTTTTACAAATTTAAACAGTTAAAATACTATTTTTGAGTATTTGAAATAGACTAAAATTATTCCAGGGACATCTTTCTTCAGAATAGCTACAAGTTCAATTATAATTCTTTAAACTTTGAAGGAAAAATTGTAGAAAAAAATAATTACTGTTACTTGGATGATTAACATATATAAAAGAAGTAGGATCTTAATGCAAAAATAAATGTGTTTGAAATATAAATAAAAGACCCAATATGTACTTTATTACAATAAAATATTGCAAGGGAATTTTTGCAACTATAAATACTCAACTTCATCAGAATAATCCAATACTATTTTGTTGGCCCCTCACATGCTTTGGTTACTGCCTGGTATCATTTAGGCATCAATAGAATTAAATTACTAATAAGCTTGTTGCTCAATTCATGAAACCACACACACTAAAGTCTCGAATAGTTCCATTTTATTTCTGGGTTTCTATTTTGACACAGCATTCCCTATAAACTTCCAACAGGTTTAAATGAGATTAGGATCTGGGCTATTGCCCCATCAGCAATTGCTAAGACAGATTAGTTTTAGAATTCTATCTTCTTTAGGGTAAAATACCTTTACTTCCTTTCTCATTCATATGATCAACATATCCATTTCCTTGTATTATTTTAGAAAAGTAGAGATGGTGGACTGATGAAAACAAATCTTTGAGAACATCTCGTGTGTGCTGAGACTAACCAAGGGAAAAACCAGAATAGCTGCTTTCTTTTTTGGTGTTAACTTCACTCCTTTTCCCACATTGACACACACAAAGTTTCACAAGAAATGGATCAACTAGCAGATATCAATTGTTATACAGTCATTGTTGACAAATAATTATCAATTCTCAGAGAATGCTCCAGAAAATCAACAATGGAAGTAAAAATATAAAAACCAGAATTGAAGAGCAATTCATAGTTTTACACTGTCCTTAGAACAGGGAAGTAAAATAATTAATGGTGATGCAATAATTTTTTTCTTCCACTGTATGTGTTATGATATCTTCAACAGACTTTCAGTTGAAGCCAGAAAAAACAACACGAAATGCTGAACTAGTCCATGAACATAGAAAGACCACAAATCTTAATGAGGCAGCCAGTATATTCAACAAACATTTCTCTGAAACAGCTGACAGACTCCAGCAAACAAGTAACCCCAACAGTACACCTCAACCACCATTAAAACTACCACTTTAAAAATATCCTCTAGTATGTACTCGCAGAAACAACAGGTAAGTCAATATTCAAATTAAAAAAACAAATTGGAAAACAAACAATCTGGTGGGATAGACAACATTTCAGACTTCAATATAAAAATCATTGCTTCTTACATACACTGACGCTTATACAAGTAATTACCAACACATGGCTTCTTTCCACATATTTAAAATCTATTATATTAATTCAAAAAGGAGTAACAAACAAGATGTAATGAATTATAGACCAATATCACTGTTATCAGGATTTCCAAAAATATTGGAAAATCTCTTCTATGAAAGGTTAAAAAGTCATACATCATCACCGACTTGCAACATGGATTCAGGGAAAATCAAACAACCAAATCAGCCTGATTTTCCTTTGTAAATGAAATTCTCATTGAATTTGAGTGAAAAGAAATTCCTATTAATCTCTTCCTTGACCTGTCAAAAGCATTTGACAACGCAGAATTGTTGTCAAAATTAGAATCTTACGGAATTTTTGGAATTGCATACAAATGGTCAAAGCATATCTATCAGACAGAAAATAAATAGTTATGTTACCTTACCAAAAAAGCCATAAAATCATTCAAAACCAAGAATTGTGACACACGGGATTCTGCAATGATTCATGCTAGGTCTGAATCTATTTCTTACAATGTTCTTGTATTTCTTACAACTTTCTTGTAAATGATCTTCAATCAATAATGGAAAACAATAAAGTAGTAGTTTGCTGCTGACACTAATGTAACATTTAAAGGAAAAATAACCACCTCATGAGTCAACTCAGACAGCAAAGTCAAAGGATCCACCAAAAACTAATCAAAGAGAAACAAAAGAATCAATATGACCTTCCCCAAACAACAATTGCCACCAAATTTCATAGGGAAAAAAAAGTATTTTGCGGAATTTAAATCTATTTACCTGGATCTTTTAAGCACATTATGCCTATTAATATTGACTTGAATCATCCTTACGATTTTCTATACAAGAAGTTTTGAAAACTCTTTAGGAGTTAGATTTTGAACGTTTCAAAAACCAAAATAAGTAAAGAAAAAGTAGAAAAAAATACTTCTTTCCTTTGTTTTTTTAAGACTAACTCTTATTCTGACAGATCATAAAAAAGGGTTAAACAAATTGTAGGCCCGTAAATTCTCTACAATTTCCCAAATTTTCAACATTTTATCTTATAATTGGTGCCCGACAGCTCAATATAAATAAAATGGTAATTACACAAGACATGCATTGAATTATCACCAACTTAAGTGCATGAGCACATTATACTAAAATGGTACAAGAGTTCAATAAATTTTGAAGCAAGTGATACAATTCAGACACTAAAAAACAAGTTACAAAAAATGGGGCAAATTCTACTTTACTGTTGCTAATTCAGTTCAAATGAATTAAGAGTTGAAAGAAGAGTTATGAAATAAAACAATAAATACAGAATCCAGAAACAAAGTGAATGTCGAGCACACTCCAGAAAAGGAATCAAACGCAGGAATTGGAAGCTGAACCCTTGCTGGATGAACTGAGAAGAAACAAACAAAGATAGTGCAAACATCTGGAAAGAATGTCAGACCAAGGATGCCTGTCGTTGCAACTGATTATACAAGGATTAATCAGAGCCTGAGCGATGAAAAAGGGATGGACCAATAATTAAACAAATTAATATAGGGTATATAAAACTCTACAAAATATTTTTTTGAATGAGTTTATTTACATTTATTTTTTAATTTACTTTATGTCAAAAAATAAATAAATAAAATAAAATAAAATAAAACTGTGTGTAACGTGCTGAGGCAAAAAAGTGTATTATGTGCACGTTTCCTTCATGACGGGATCTACCCTAAGTCTATAGAAGTGGAATTCTAAATATAAAAAGAAATTAGAAATTAGGGGGGGGGGGAGGAGGACTACAATTTACTCACTAATCCAATACAGTAAATAGAATTTAGTAATTTGATAATTACAATCCTGAGTCTACTACTGAATACATAGTATAAAAGAAGTCAACAACAAAAAAGACATAAAATAAAGTTGTTAATGAGATAAAATAGATGCTTAATAAATACCCACTCATTATCAGTCAAGCACAATCACTTATTTTCATAACAACTCTGTTTAATAATTCGTAAAAGCAGTTCAAGTCTGAACATTAATCTGCATCTCCGTATCCATGTATACCGACATAATTTGACATCGAGACATAATTTTTTCCTCATTTACAGCCTCAGCTCAATGGCTTTGAAAGACGACTCTGCTATCTCATGAATTTAGTCCAACTTCACCAAGATGACCAGCTTGTCCTCACGAATCTAAACAGATTTCATCAAAATTGGTACTTTTCTCAATCCACCATCCCATCGAGAGCGGAAATAGTTAGTCTTTTAGTTTTCAGTTTTAGACTTCGCTGTTCAGTCAAAGTAACACTGTCACAATCATAATGAATAGGACAATCACATACACTGCAAATGGCATATTTGGAACTTAGATTAACCAATGACCTACAAATTTAACAAACTTCACAGTTCATCTCAAATAAATTTCAACTAAAGAAAAATTTTTGATAAAAAGATTTTGCTTACAATACAAACTGAATGTATTTACATAGCAATAACACTGTTTCTAATATTCTCATATTCTGATCACAAATTCTGTAATGCTGGTGAAGATATTCATAAGCTTGTCCCTGTGTCAACTGTAACCTCAAATTAAACCATGTGGTGTCAGTCGAAATCTAGATGCTATAAAAACCTCTAAAAACGTAAATAACAAGGACACAGAACACTAAATATCATTGAGTAACATTGAATTATCATCATCAATATAACAACCAAATGTTCGAAAGTATGTTCATAAGAATCTTATTCTCACAAAACAAACTTCAAAATGCCATCATAAATTTACATTTATGAATGAATCAAGCCCTATAACAAATAAGAACCAAAGCCCAGTTGCATATCTTTATAGCAATACCAGGTGATTATAAATGGCAGAAGTTGGATGTGCTAATAGGTGTAACATATATATAAACTCATTTTTCTTGAAAATATGAAAATGGCACTTACATCTTTTTTTTTATTTCAAGCTATCAATTGTTAACAAAATATTCACTCCAATGCAATAAAATCAATTTTCAATGGCAAATCAGCTATTGATATGGGTCCTTATCCCTCGTCGTGTCCTATGTGAAGGAATATACTTCAACTATGCATGACACCACACAGAGAATGATAATTTCAAAATCTATATTTCCCAATCAATTCTAGACGAAGCACACAAATAATGAAGTTACATTCATGCCCAGAAACAAAACAAAGAACCATCTCAGCATTTGCTCAAACATCAGGGAAACTGGATGAAAAGCCTCATCGAGATAGGGGTCATTGACCCAGAAGATAAAGTTCAAGACTTGATATTGGTTGCTTAGAATTATACAATCCAAATAGAAAATATTTCATTAATTATCATAGTTAAAATTAATATTTTCCTATATTACATATTGATTTTCTTTTTGATGCTCCGTATAGATTCTAAGTGCATAGAAACAGTTACGCAGTAAAGATTCTACTAAAGAGTTCTAATAATACAAAGCTACTTCGTGTTCCAGTGTTTCATTAGCGTTAAAAAGTTACTGTGATTTACAGCAGAAAAGAAGTCAATTTGAAAATAAGTTTTCATCACAATGGCCAATTTTAAAAATATCATTCAAATCACCATTTAAATCCCTGAAACACTATGTGCAACATAACTAAGAACTCTGAATATTTTCTCTATTCGTTTCCTAATATGCAGCTGAATGAAGTTAAATTTAAAAAAGGAAAGGGTAACATCCAAGATCATGGAATTTCAAATCAAATGAAATTTTCACTTTTAAGATAGCTCATTATGCACATTCTACATCCCTCCTAGCTGCTAGTGACTTTTTCCATTATCTCCACAACCTACAAATTGGGATGACATCTACAGTAAACTCTACGACATGGTTTGGAAAGAAAATAATTGCAATCTAAGTGCATAAGAATCTCCAAACCATATATTCTAATCATATCTGTATGCTGATACTATATAGAAACCTAAAATATTCCCCTTGCCCCCTTCCAAGAATTCAACCTGGGCACTTGAGCACTGACACCTATCAACCATCTGTCAACACTATTACTCTACAATGCCGAAAAACCTAAACAGTGGATACTTGTCCTTCCAGTCTCAAACACGTCACGTCTTTAATTAATAAAAAACAGTTCCTCTAATTTAAGACCCTCAGAATTATGTTTTACATTATAAGTTGGCCTTCGCGACATTTCAGCTATCTTTTGGCCATTTTCAGACCTCTGGTTTAAAAGCACATTTTTCAACACTGGATTCTCACTGCCATCAAAACATATGCTTAAAAATAGTGGATAATATAGATAATTACCTGTCATTACAATTGTCTATAAATAAAACATCACAAAGACTAAACAGAAAGGAAATGCCTGCTCTCACAGTGTTTGTGTTATTGTACACTACATTGTAAATATTTTAGTCTAGTTACACATTCGCATTCAAACTTCATTAAAAATAAGGTAAGTTTCTGACACCTTATATGTAAAAAATGTAATACATATGATACAAACCTTATTGATTTATGATGTTTAATTTGTAGTTATTTTGTATTTTAATCTTTTTTGTAGTTGATTGTAATTTCAAGTAATTCTCCATATAACCACTCCGTTGTGAAGTGGAGCTTACGATTTCATTGCAATATATATATATAAATATAAAGGTTCTCCTGATGAATGTATATTTTTGTGAATTTAATAACATAATTCACAAAAATATACATTCATCAGGAGAACCCTTTAATTCTCAGATACCACAAAACACTGATCAAAATACGCCACTAACGATATTGTAAAAATATAACTCACGAAGGCACTCCAGTAATCATCTTCATTCACATCAACTGGTTCTTCAACCTACGAGTGAAACAGAAAACAATCATTCAATAGTGTGTTCCAGCACGATATGTTGTTCTAAGAACATAACTTAGTTTCAGGTCCATTAATTTGTATTTGAATTCAAATTAACCTAAATTATTGGTTAACTTAAATATCAACAAACCACGTGTTATTTCAAACAGAATTTGCTTACCGGTTCTATTTTAATACAGCTTTCCGTTAAAATATTAACCTCTCCCATCACAACAACAACCAGATCACAACCGTACAACGAAAACCAGTGAATACTTGAACACAATTTTACTTTCTACTCGACCTAGATGTTGATCGGAGCTGACGAAGTAAACATACTGTAATATTTAATACTCGCTGGTGCTCTCTGGAACTACGTGTATATCAGAGTACAAATAGAAGAGACTCTTTGGAAGACACAGCACACGAGCTTTTATTTCACTTGGGGTGGGGGGGAACCAACGGAGCCAATAGCCTTCCAAAAGGTGTATGGAAAACAAATCAGCCAATCATAGCGACCTACTCAAAACGCGTAGCGGAAGCGCCCGCCCTGGAACCAGTGTCAGTATCAGTCAATATTGTTAGTCCTGGCTTTTGTATTTATTTATATTTACATATAATTTGAGGAAGAATTTAGAACAAAATAAATGAGATCATTTCGAATTCTGTAGGCAGGGCAGGAAATTGAGGATAAATATTCACAATAAAAGAAGGTGATTTCACATTTTCAATATTTATTTGTAAATTACACATTAACTCCCAATAATTCGAAGGCACACCCATACAAATACACATATATTCGATTAAGTTTATACGAAAATGTAACATTATAAACAAATTAATTTCACTTACTGTAGACTCAATGTATCTAATCCCTGACCAACTATCCAAAAAGCAACATCCCAAACGAAGAAGCTGATCGCAAAGCAGAAGATATCCTGGTACTGGAGGAAGAAGACAAAAGCAAACACTGAATTAAAAACTGGTACAGGACATATCCAGAAGAAGAGAAAGGCTGCAAATGAACCTTCAACTCTCCAACACACCAAAATTGAACACAGAAACCCACAAAAATTCATCTGAGAAAGAACAAGAAAAACAGAATTAACCATTAATAGACATTGCAAAGATGCAATAGAGAAGGAAAAAGATTCAAACATTCAAGGAAATAAAGAAATAATTGGCACAAAATATTCAAAGTTATGCCAGTTACAAGCAGGTCACAAGAATGCATGGATGTTCCTGGGAAGATTAGCATAACAAATCAGGGAAGAAGACATAAAATAACATCTATGCAACAATGGAATAAGGGGAGAAATATTTGTCACAGAAATCAAGACAAAAGTTAATACTTACAAAGCTGTGTTAACCCTATTTGAGAAACTAGACACAATTGAACAATCTGACTTTTGACCACAAGGAGTTATAATGCGACCACTATCTTTCAAAAACACAGAAGATATAATATTCAAAATGAGAGATTACCCAGAGATCATAATCATTAGAATGAAAAATACCCAAGAAAAGGATCAAATACTGAAAATCTGAACATGAAAAATACGAGGACTATCAAACAAAGCAGACAACTTAGAAATGATACTAATAGAAAGAAATATAGATACAGCTGTACTATCAGAAACTAACAATAAAGGAAATGGAACTCAAGACCTAAAGAAACACTTCTAATATTTTCACGAGTGGAAAGAGAAGGGAGAGCAGTTGCTGGTGTGGCAGAAATTATGAAAAGCTCATGGAAACATAATATTGAAAATTACAGATTCATTTCTCCAAGAATAATATCAATAAAACTCAACATAATAAAAAGAAAATTAAACTTAATTGGAGTGTATGCTCCAGTGGACGGAAGCGATGAAGAAACTACAAAATTATATCACACATTGCAAAATGTAATAGATCAATGTGAGAAGAACACTTCTTTCATAATAGCTTGTGACTTAAATGCACAAATTGGCCTCAAAGGAAGGCAGGAGAAGAAGTCATTAATAACAATGGGAAAATGCCAATTGATTTCTGTACTTTTAATAATGTGAAAATTACTAATCCTTTTCCAACACAAAGATAAACACAAATATACATGGGAAGGAAGGGGAACAAAATCAATTATTGAATATGTCATTGTAAGTGAGACTGAGTAAGATAAAAGATACCAAAGCTTTCAGAGGAAGTGAATTAGACACTGATCATTACCTCCTTGAAAGCAAAATTAAAATCAACCCCCAACACTGCAAGAAGAAAGAGAAGACAACCATAGTGAGACCCAAATTAGAGGCACATCTATTAGAAGAAAAAAGGGTT